TATACATACTTGTTACATAATAAGCGAAGGATGATGTGCTCAACTTTGCAAAAGTGACATAGTTAAGGTTCTCTGCCATTCTTTCTCTGACTTTATCATGTCTTTTTATTCACATTGCATATATCCTTTTCCATCTACTGCCTTTAGACATGAACTATAATTTCAGATATTAATGATTATGCTCTTTTAAATTCTTTGTGTGTGTACATAATGTATCTTGATAATAAAAAAAAGTGAGAGGTATTGCAATATTTTTCTTTATTTTCAACTTGTTCCTTTTCTTCCTTCAACAGAATTTCATATTCTGGGAATATCTTCTTTTCCACATATCTCCTACCTTAATGTTCTAAAAATTAAATTCTTGGCCTTTAGAAAATGTTCAGGAAATTAAGCTAGGACCCTTAAAATGACTGACAAGAACTAATGTATCTTCTATTCTATATTTGTAGTCATAATCTAGCCTTTATGCCCCAATAATTTAAGATATTAGGCTACTGAGTGGCATATTCTCCACAGCTCCTAAGTTATTAATAGATTACAAAGAATGTTAGATTTTTATTTATTTATTCTGTAAATTTTAATCTATTTATTTATTTAATTTGTTTATTTATAGAGTGGGTTATGAGACTGGCTAATTTTTGTATTTTTTTTTTTTTTGAGTAAGAGTCTTGATCTGTCTTCTAGGCTGCAGTGCAGTGGCACGATCTCGGCTCACTGCAACCTCTACCTCCCGGGTTCAAGCAATTCTCCTGTCTCAGCCACTTCAGTACCTGGGATTACAGGTACATGCCACCATGCCTGGCTAATTTTTGTATTTTTCTTAGAGACAGGGTTTTACCATATTGGCCAGGCTGGTCTCCAACTCCTGATCTCAAGTGATCCACCACCTTGGCCTCCCAAAGTGCTGGGATTACAGGTGTGAGCCACCACACTCAGTCTAGATTTTTAAAAGTAACCTTAAAGTACATTTCTCAGCAGATCTCATTTTGAAAGTGTCAATAATATTTTAGCCTGATAATCTAATGTGTCCAGTGGCTTCAAGGTAATAGATTGTATTCCCCCTTAAAAGACCTAGGTTTTGCTTTAGATTTCTAAGACCAAGCTAAATATATGTGTTAATTAAGTGATAATACTGGTAGGTAATCTTGAAGACAATGATAAAGGACATTATGACTTCACTGAGTAAATGAAGGCATGAAGCGTATGTCCAGGAGAGTTCCCTTATAATTGCTAAGGGGAAAATCCCTAGGATTAAGGGACAATGTTTTTGAAAACCTCATCTGAATTGGCTAGTACATACGGCAAAGGAAAGAGAGATTTTCTAAGCTGACTTCAAGCTGTATTAACCAAAATACTATTTTAATGTTATGGCAGATTATTTCTGAATGAAGTGTATCTTCATATTTTGTCCCATACTTTCATGATTTGTATTTCTTTAAAGTTGCATAGAATAATATAATTTATAATTTAATTTAGCTGATGTCTTATAAGGTCCATACCTAGTAAGATTTGAAACTGCTAATTGGGATAATAGAAAGTCACTTGTCTTTTCTCAAATGTCAGTGAAGTAGGTCAAGATAATTAATATGCAAGATGACTTCTCAGTCAAAGGAAAACAAGACAGGTCTCATTTGTGTACTTTTAGTACCATCCATTTCAGACTAAAATGAGTTCAGCCTAAGAAAATCACAGTATGACTCAGTTAAATAATTGAATTTCAAAATAAGGCAAAAGGTAGTTCAACCATGAGAACACAAATTGAAGTCTGTTCTAAGGAAGGCTAAATATACGCTTCATAAGCAGGGCCAAATTCTACATGCATAAGGAAAATGAAAAACAGCTAAGGCATGGATTTAGGTATATCTTGCTTCTTAGATTGCTCTGTAAGCTCATAAACACTATATAACATATATCGTAATATAAGGTAAGGTAAAACATAAACCATAAGAAAGAGATTTGATTGATGACATAATTCTTCACCATTAAAGCATATGACAGACTACATTTTCATGTTTTCTTCCATTATTTCTTTTGCTCACTTGCCTTATACTTTCTATTTTTAATTTATTGATAAACTGAGAAAAATGTTTAGAACCAGACATTAAACTTATTTCCTTTGCAGTTCTGTACTTGATTACTACAAACTCATGTCAGGAGGTCAAACTGAATGCTGGCCTGGAGTGGGACAGTTAGTAAAACACTGCTGTTAGACTTTGATTTTTACAAGCACAGGTTGCCTGCTGAACTGTGTGGCAGCACAGTGAACACTCTGTGTTGGAGGACATGTACAGGAGGCTAAGGCTGATGTAATGGCCACAGCTTTGTTCCTGTGTATAATTTTTGCTCTGTTGACATAACATCAACCAGCTTGATTTGAACAAGCAGCCTGAGTACTTACTCCTAATGTTCAATCCAAGGAAGCTATGAACGTGACATCCCATAACTAGACCTTAAAGATTATTTTGAAAACACTGGTTTTTAAAGCTGATATTTCCTAAATAAGATGTTAATCAAATTGCACACTCCTAAATATTAGAAATAGCAATGCAGAAAACCATCATTAGAACAAACATACATTTCATTGAATAATAAGCATCTTCAGGCAAGTATGAAATGCACTATTCTGTTATGAACAGTTTGAAGTACACTGACAAATTAAGTGGCAAGATTTATGGAAAAATACCCAGAAAGAAATGGGGCCTGGAAGATAGGGCAAGGCCACCTTCAGTGAAGTAGATCTGACTGAAATAGCATGAAATGTCCCACAATATTGAACCATAAAGACAAAGAGTACAATACCAAATTTACTGACACACTTACTAGGTCTGTTCTGTCTTATAACATTCTACAGTCTATTGAAAAAGATGGAAAGTACTGAATAACTACTCACTTAACTCATCTGAAATGTGAAGAAAGAAACCCAACCAACTTAGGAGTGCATCTATTTGGCTAAAAAATCTGATCTACTGAACAACAAAAAAGGAACTCTAGAAAAAAAAATAAAGCTATCTAACTAGAAGTGCTCTGTGGACTACTGGAAACCTGAAGAATGAGCAAGCACGGTGCCATATTTTCCCTTCATGTCTTAGGACACACTTGCTCCTTTCTAGTGTTCCCTTACACAATGACCAGGATGAACTGTTAAGTGCCCAGCTTATTCAAAACAAGACAACATTTGTGACTTAACCTGTAGGAATGACGAAATGTTTTCTGAACAGAATTCTCTATTTCAGAGGGCTGTGCCTAATTTCAACACAGTTTATCTTAAAATGGCTGAGATAAAGTGTTTTATCCAATATGTTTGTAAAAGAATAAATAAGCCTGACATATTTAGTCACAGCATTTGTGTAGCAGCTGAATGACAGTAGAAATGAAGTTTCTATCTTTAGTTAAATTTTAGAATTTATTAATTTTGGTAATCTTTAGAATATTAAACATTGTTATTATGCTTGCCAGAGCTCCTACAGAGGCCTAACATGGCTCCTAAATATTTCTTCCATAAGAATCTTCCACAAACTCTGATAGATGTGAATGTTGAAAGGGCTTGGCAAGTAATGAATGGTAATTACTTTTCCTACACTAACAGCATACCTTTTATAATGTTTCTCATGGAGATTATGGCTAAAATATACTTCACATGGAAACTTCCCCAGCATATGAATTTTATTACAAACAATTCTTATATTTTGTTGGTAGAAGAGATAATATTAAATAATGCAATGAAGATCCATACCATAAGGAAGGTCCACTATATTTTCTTGTCAATAATTTCCAAAGAGACTATCATTTTAAATGAGCCAAGCTTGACATGAACATGGGGCTCCTGACCTGTTGGTAACCTGTGAACTTTGAGATATTTTTTCCAGTTGTGATGAAGAACTTACACTAATATATCCTGTAATTAAAGTCCCATATATTTATAAAATGGGCTGAAGGCTACATTCTGCTTTCATCTTTTAAAAAGAGAAGTCTATCGCCCTAGGGGTACCAAACAAGTAACTGATTTCATCACCATTGGCTCAGGTTATATCTGCATTAATTGACCCACACTGCATTTTGAATAAAGAGATGTGAACAGTTTTATACTATTTCTTCTATATATTTTGTTTTGTGCATTTTATGTTCAGACTTATAGCTAAACCTAGATTTTCTTTCTTACCAAAATAACTAAGTTGTAGCCTTTCCCTTAAACCAGCTTGGGTTTCTGGACTGATGTGTCACATTAGTAATAAATAGATGCTTGGTATGGCATGTTGAATAAAGAACTTAATAACTAGTGAAGATATTCTTAATGTCAACAAGGCAGAGGGTTACTTTATTGACTTGTCTCTTAAGAGCTGACTCACACAAAATGAGCTTTGCAATCAACATACATACCAAGAAAGTAGATGGATGCTTTTGGAAAACTGGTTTCTAGAAACAAGTTCAGCTATTTCGAGTAGAAAGAAACGCTATGTGGAATCTCTCCTTGGAAAAATTATCTTTTGGATTTTTCCTTTAAATGTTCTGACAATAAAAAAGGAAGATAAATATGTATATGTATAGACGTGAGTGATTGAGTGAGTGTGTGCATGTGTGTGTCCATTTATTCAACCAAGGCTCTGCTAACAACCTGCCTGAAACATTTATAGTTTCTTAACCCAACTCAGGGGACAACTGTGGGCCAATCAGATGGTGCATGCCAGTGAGAATAAAGTGGGTAAGAGAAGGAAGAAAAAAAAAAAAACCACCATTAACCTTAAAAGGCAAATGGATAGTTGGAGAAAAAAATTATTTGCTCCAGCTGTGGGTATCTTGGGACATAAGCTTCATTACTCATCATGTTTTCCCAAGTTACTGAAGTTCTGAAAGTAGGACACCAAGAGAGACCTAATTTACTATATAGCCATACCATTATTTTAAGAAAAAAGGGAAGCAAAATTCTACTTTCTTCAAATAAGAAGTTTGAAAAGATTAGGCCTTTGTGTACACAAGCTAAGAATCTCCAGAAACATACTTACTTTTTTCTCCTATGTTTTCCCCTGCTGCCTCCCCTTCCTCCTCCTCCTCCTCCTCCTCCTCCTCCTCTTCCTCCTCCTCCTCCTCCTCCTCCTCTTCCTCTTCCTCCACCTCTGGGGGTTGCACGTCATCCTGTGGGTCACAGGCACTAACTGGAGCATTCAGGCAGCAATGGTTGAACCCGCTATCTCGAGGCAGAGTAAAACTTCGAGGCTTGCCCCCATTTCCATTTAGCACTTGCATCCTCTCACTCTCAGCTAACGGGTATGGCCCATAGTGATCCTGCAGGTGGCACTTCTGAGTTGGCAGGGTGGACTGCCGCCTGTGCTCTGGGGAGATGGCCGCAGAGTCAGAGAAGACAGAATCCTCCAGAGGCAGAGTCTGAAGATAGTGTAAGCCTGAACTTGTCAGTGGTGTCTCAATTAAATCCTGCCAGGAGCGGCGCTGACTGGCTGTCTTGCGAATGGGAGACACTGCACTGCTCCCAGTTACTTCCTGGCGAAACTCCTCATGAGAAGACTGAGACTGAGAAGTCTCCGTGGAGGAAAGTCGGCTATGTTTTGCTTCCACATAAGGACTGGCACAACTCATCTGTAGAAAGGAGCCCCTGATTAGTCTCTTGACAAAATAAAAGACCACTTCTATTTCAAGGAACACATTTGGTTTCCACCAGGTAATATTTAAGTAGATGAACTCTTAGGTAGTCAATTTAATGACTAGGCAAATTTGCAGACAACTCAAAGTTAGTCCCCAGCTTACATTGTAAGAGACAGAGACATGAATATATTGAAATGCGGCTATACCAAGCTCTCGTGAAAAATCTGACATATTAATGCAAAATTTTACAACAATGAAAGTATGAGAAAATGTTAGTGCTTTCATAAGAAATATTCAGCCACTACAAAAATCTCAAAGTTTAAAAACTCTACACATTTTGAGATCCTGAATAAGTATTGTTCCTGGATTCATATTCCTGATTTCATATAGCTTGGAGTTGGAGACAAGGAGAGAGTCTTGAATATGAGAACAAGTTACCTATAAACAGACAGAACCCTTCCTTATCTTTATAGGTGAACTTCTGGTCCTATGGGTGCCAGATAAAAGCTGTATGATGATTTTACTTTCCATGGGTTTAAAAATGTTAGGCAGGATGAGATTATACCTTGCTGGGGATTACCATTAGCCTTGGGCACAGATACTGCAGGGCACATAAATATAAGTGAAAATGGAATATTTTTATCCCTGGAATTTAAAGTTTGGGACTATATGTTATAGCACAAAGTACAACCAGAAAAAGGACTGGCATCAAGTGAACACTGTAAAATAGTTGCAGGCACCTCTACTGCCACAAGCCTTACTCTAGCTCTTGGGACTAACAAGCACAGCAGCCCAGGCCGAGCCTGATTTGTGAAATGTGATCATCACAAACCAGGCTGAGGTGGCAGCCAGGACACGCTTGACTGAGGCGAAGGTGCATGAAATTCCTCCTGGTAAAGGAGGAGAAGTTACTTGTCATCCTCTGTGGGCAGTCAGTTACCTTCCCATATGTTAATATGAATAGTTTTCTTCTTGAAATTCACAAATTGCCATGTTTAAGGAGCTGTTCAGTGAAGATGCTGTTTCCTATCCTTCCTCTTTTATAGATATTTTAAATAAATTATTCAAATCCTGATGTTTTAGAAAAAGAGGGAAAATATAAATTATTACCCTGGAGTAATACTGAGATGGAATTAGGTTGGCTATTGTCACTGAAATCTAGCTTCTATTTCCTATGTGGAAGACTTAGTCCCAAGATAGGCAGAATTGATTGTGATGGTAACGTGACCATGGAATATTATTATTATTATTATTATTATTATTTTGACACATAGTCTCACTCTGTCGCCCAGGCTGGAGTGCAGTGGCATGCTCTCGTCTCACTGCAACCTCCACCTCCTGAGTTCAAGTGATTCTTGTGCCTCAGCCTCCCGAGTAGCTGGGATTACAGGTGCCTGCCACCATACCTGGCTAATTTTTGTATTTTAATAGAGTCGGGGTTTCACCATGTTGGTCGGACTGCTCTCGAACTCCTAACCTCAAGTGATCCACCTGCCTTGGCCTCCCAAAGTGCTGGGATTAGAGACGTGAGCTACAGTGCCCAGCCTGACCATGAAATATTATTGTCTAAACTGGAACACTACTGAGACACTCTTGGTAATTCTGATAGGAAAGGGAAATAAAGTGGGATAGTTCCAAGTAAACTAACTGTTTACCCTATTGAAAGATCAAAGTACAGTCTAGACACAGAGTAATTTAAAGAGATTTGTCTGACACACCATATGAACATATACATTAAACCAGATCCCATGGCTGCTGAGAAAGCTACCTTCAAAACATCTTCAATATAGATAATTACTTTTTATAAGTTCATTTTAAAGGACATAGGAATAAATTTTATTAATGTGGAATACATAAGGTCCTTTTCTTAGAAAAGGATATTGTTGTTGATTATCTCCATGAGGGCTACCTTAACACAAGTAGTATATTTTGTTAATAAAACTGACGACATACTTATTCTGCCTGGAATCTGTATTGACTGTTTCTCCTGCTTAAATATTCTTTGTATGCTTAAAAAATTTTCCTTACTGATTTTAGACTCCCGGTTTTCTTTTCCACCAAGAAACCTAAAGTTTGATATGCAATCTACTACATATGTTTTTAACACAGAAAAGGATGTTTCAGGTCACAGAAGCTGGTGGAAGTAATATTCTTGTTGCTAACTTACCGAGGGAGGTCGTGGGTATGTATCGTATGGGGGTGGAGGGCTATCTTGTTTTGGCGTTGAAGGAGTATCTGCTTCTTCCTTGTCACTTTCACTCCAGTAATCTGAAAAATTCATAGACATGGATACATCAACATTCTACTAAGTGTTTCTAGTCATATTTTCATGAACATGAATTAACATTTAAGAAATTTAAATTCTGTCCCTACATCATTTCCCCGGCACTACCTTACCCCTGGTCTACCAACTTTTATTTTCAGTTGAGTTTTGAGGAGAAAGTAAGTATATAATCACCTAATTTTAACTTTCTTTTAAAGCAAGCAGTTACATGCAGCCATAATTTTAGAAAGTTAAGAAAAACATATTGCATAAGCCCAATCAGGTTTAGGGTACCTCAGATTTCAGATCCAATTATTCTGAAGCTTCAATTAATGAATGATATCATATGATGCCTCTTAAAGGTATATCATTTTATCCTAAAGATACTCAAAGAAAAGCAATACATACATTGCTGTAGATCTCTACAGATATAAACAGCTAAAAAAATAATGCTCTCAATTATCTTCTCTGGCTTCAGTTCAGTGATTATCTAACAATCACTGTTTCCAGACTCATGCTGACATGAATCTCTATAACACCATACTCCCACCTCTCCTTGGAAACACGTGGCAAACTCTGGTTCTTGCCAAATGCAAAAGGGCAAATCTGCTGATGTGGGCTGCAAGTTCCAAACTTCCAGAACTACCTAAAAGGGTAGTAAATGTAAGCAGCCAGGCAAAGTGACTTAGCAGACCTCAGGCAGGAGGGAGGGGAAAGAACTCTGAGAGATAAGTTCAGATTACTAGAGTATGTCAAATGCAGCAAAAGGGCCAATAATTGGAATCTGTTCCATTAATATCCCAACTACCCTGTAACTGCTGGGTTTATTCTTTATATGATTTACAAGAAAAAACCTGAAGTATTATCCATCAATTTCAGATTATAAGAGAAAACATGTTAAAACAAAAGTCTCATTATTCTTATGAAAATTTAAATCCCAAAAGAACCATCATAAGGCTTAACCAATATTCAGATTTAGGTGAACAATCATGGCACGTATATTTACAGGAAGCTCTCTCCACCCATGAATTCCCATCTTGTAATATTTTTATACGGTTTTCTTGCAGTGTGATTAATATTACTGATAATTACAGCTAACATACATTAAGAAATTACTATATATCAAATAGAAAGTAATAGAGCTGGGATTTGAACTAAGAAACTGCCATACCCTAAAGCTCTGGAGACTAAGTTGCTGGGACTCTTTTAGGATAGCAGGATAATTTGATGTGAAGTATATTGATGATTATTTTATCCACCTATTTCTTCCTGCATATACCTATGGCTACTGTGAACATAAATTCTTCAACAACAGAAGTTGGAAATAAAATACATTTTCAATTATATTCTAGGCCTCAAAATACAAAGACTCTGCAAATTCTATTGCTGTTTTAATTATTTCCTTTGAGTAAAAGATAAGCAAAGACTATTTAATCTTAATTTGATATCTTTTTTTTTCCATTGGTTCATGCCAATGATAGCCAGTATAACAAATCTTCCCTCAAATATGAGTTGGCACCGTTGCCCAAAAATGGACCGAGCAAATGCTGGTGGAAAACACATTAACTATATAGTCAGACAAGTGTAGGTTCAAATCTTAGCTAGACCACATCTTGGTACTTTTGTGGTAGTTATTTAACCTCTCTGAGTCTGTTTTGTTATCTGTAAAAGGGATCTAATAATAACCGCCTTTCAGAGTTGTGTGTGTGTGGGCACTAAATAAGGTAACATGTTTTCAAGTGCCTTGTATCTAGATAGCACTCAATAAATATTAGAACCCCTTATCTTCTTGGGTGTATTTGTAGTAGCATGCCAAGAGAGTGTGACTCAGACCACATAGGCGATAAATGCCTGGTATTCATCTTCTTAGACATAAAGTTTTTCTTGTAGCAAGGCCCAGCAATAAAAAGTAAAATCTGGAGCCCTGGGGCCTGGGTTGGACAGCTTTGTGAGAGCTTGAAATACTAATAGGAAATCACTCTGTAGGTAAATGGAATAAACAAACCACCCCTGCGAACCAAAGATCACCCTGCCGGTATTCTTCCCACTATTTCCAGGAACTGTAGCACCTGTGTACCTTTCCATTATTTCCAGAAACTGTGGCACCTGTACAGAGTATCTCCTTGACGTTTGCACTGATACCTTCAAGGTGTTAATACCTCAAGTGGTCCTTATTAGCACACTGAGAAGGAGATGATCATGATTTCATCAATGGTTCCATAGCTGTTACCACAAGTGACAAATTTTGGGAGGCTGCCTCTCTACTTTTTCCTTCCAGTTAAATTAGGAAGAATTTTAATCCCACTGTTCGATGGAATTCTTGGTTTATTAAAAAGCATTGTCAATCCAGAGTTTTCTTGGGTTGCCTAAGAAAAGGGTGAAATACTACTTTGCAAATTAATTTTGTTTTCTTACACTAAGCTGTGTGTCTTTGAGAGAGCAATGACAGAGAAGAGGCTACACAGAAATTTTAATTAGGCTCTTTTGGGTTTGTGTGGAAAATTAGAGACACACTGTTGCTTAGAGGATGAAAACTAGTCTGATTTTTATTCTAATGGTAAATTAATTTTTTTTAGTTCTCTATATAGCACAAATTAAATGGATACTTTTAACGTCCCTTGCAATGATACACAATTTTATAAGTAATCATGAAAAAACTGCCATCACTAGAAGAGAAAATTTTCTACTTTACTTTCTCATGCTGATACAAAAGGATAATTTGAAAAAATGACTTTTTTATTTAGAACTGTCAAAGAAATACAATATATTTCATTCATTTTTTGTGTGATTAAGTCTTTAAAAAGACCTTATATGTGATTGAAAATAATGTCATGGATGTCTGTTTTGAAGCTGGAAAAAAATATAAAAATGATCAGCAGACAATTAGACAAATTGTTATCTTGGCTGAATTTAGTGTAACCCTGTTTTCTGTAAGTACAACAATGGACACTGAAAGAGAACCCCACATCTTTTACTGTAACTAAAGATAGCAATTCACTAAATTTTTATTTAAATCAATCAAAGAGTCACTTCTAAGCTGTATTGGTTATTTAGATGGAAACAGTATCTGGCAGCTATGTCCCTGCATCTTGGAGAAACATTCCCAATCCTTAAAGAGCCATATTTTGTATTAAGCTTAACTTCATTACTTAGAATGGTACTCAAGATATAACTCTACAGAACTGTGGAGTAGACATGTGCATCTAGTAGTTTTCTATATGGAATACCATGCAACCTAATCATGCAGGAGGTAGGAAGTCTAATATGTTTCTGACCTATGCTAAAGTGTCCGAGGAACATGCATCCTATGTGGAAATCAAAATTATTTCAGAGATTCTGGTTGTATTGCATTAGCAAGATTCTTGTTGTATTAAAGTGTAACTACTAGCTTCTGCCTCTGATTTTCTACTTACATGATAGACCAGTACATCATGAATCTACAGACTTAATACTTTTTGGAACCCATATGTCCAATATAACTATATAACTTATCAGATATTTCATCCATAATAAAATTTGGCTATATAATACCAAGTAAAAGGAAATTCACTAAAATCAAGACCAAGCTCAGGTTCATAGTAATGCTAAGTAATAAAATACAGAAGTTAAGCTTAAGATCCAAGCTTCCTTATATTTATACAAATTGATTCAAAGATTCATAACAGTACAATGCCCACACTTCTAATTCTTGTGTCTTTAACAAATCAGAAAAAAAAATTTATAAACACTTTTAGAGAACCGTTTTATTCCTTTTAAAGAAATTTGAAAAGGAAGACTAATTTTTTTTCAGTACTCTTACCAAGAATTTAGGCCTATGCAACATATAGTTTCTACTGTAAAGCCTGCAAAGCCCAAAATACTATTAGGTTCTTTACAGAAAAAATTTACTAATCTGTACCTAAACATTTGCTGACATACTGGTTTTGGGATCAGGTTGTCTTCTTTAGATTTTTAAAAACTTTAGTTTTCAGATGTTTTTAAAAAAGAGTTGGCTGAAGGCCAGGCATGAGGGCTCATGCCTGTAATCCCAGCACTTTGGGAGATGGGTAGATTGCTTGAGCCCAGGGGTTCGGGACCAGCATAGGCAACATGACAAAAACCCGTCTCTACAAAAAACAACAAGTAAAAACAAAAACCAAAATTAGTCAGGTGTGGTGGTGTGAGCCTGTGATCCCAGCTACTCAGGAGGCTGAGGTGGGAGGATCGTTGAGCCTGGGAGGTCGAGGCTGCAGTGAGCCAAGATCATGCCACTGCACTTCAGGCTGGCCATCGGAGTGAGACCCTATCTCTAAACAAAACAAGAAACAAACAAGCAAAAAAGACTTGGCTGAGATTTTACTCTAAGTCTAAAAGAAAACAGAAGGCTTTTAGAATCTTGACATCAATAAACTGGTTATGACCAGTTTATTGTGAAGAGACAACTATGAATAGGTTTGTGTTTATGTGTGTGTCAATCTATGGATTATTTTAACAGATAATTTCAAAAACCTATTTATGCTTCCAAGGGATGTACGACAAACACCCTTTGGGAAATGTGAAGCCACCTCAGAACGATGACCACAGTTTTTGTTCTTAAGATTTCAATTCTACATAATAATGTTGTGTTTCATAAATCTGAGGTCGATACCAAGGCAAATTCCATATGATCACAGAGTTACAAAGTAACAGAGCTGAAGAACCATAACATTGTTTCATAAATCTGAGGTCCACACCAAGGCAAATTCCAAAAGATCACAGAATTACGAAGTAACAGAGCTGAAGAACATAACCAAATGAGAAAATTTATGAAAGAAAAGATCATTCATCTCATTTCTTTGTAAAAAAGGCCACTTAAATGTCTACAAAACTGCTAAATAGTAAAAATTGCTACTGCTAAGGATCTGGACTTGGTTCAACCAGAATTTTTCCATTTTTAAGATTTTGTTTCTTCGTAGGAAAAAGATAGGAGGAGGGGGTAACGAATATGAGAGAACTCCACATTAGCTGCTCCAAAAATTTGAGCGTTCAGTCCCTATCTATTCAAGTTGTTAAACCTCACTTAAGTGCCCAGAAGAGAAATAACCACAAATTGGCATATGCATTTTCTCTTAAGTGATAGCAATGAATCTCTGTATAGGATTACTACAGGAAAAAAGTATAATATAATTCTTTTTAAAAAGTATTCCTTTACCTTGTTCTTGCTTAATCCTCTCTCTTTCTGCATAACCTGCAGTCAGCATATTAATTCTGTTAAGCCACCTGAAAAAAACAAATATAATCAATAACATTGTAACCTAACTTCTTATATTTTACTTCCTAGAAACATACATTTTAAAATGTCTAAGAATATATGGAATAATCCTACATATAAGATGTGTTCTTTGTAAGTACTGATGCATGGAATCTTTAATGAGATACAATTTGCCATAGTACAAATTTCTCCATACCAAAGATTCTATTTCACTAGAAAAGTCTTGGGCAAAGTGGTTAATATCTGTAACATAAAGAGTTTGGAGTTGACCAAAGCCATATTAATTCTATGGTTCCAAATGTAGAAGTACTCCAAATATTTCTGCTGTTCTGTTTCTTCAGAACAAATGCTCCTTTAGAGATACTTAAACAGTATCAGGTTTAATTTATCCTGATGAGAAAAAAAAGTTATGGCCCTTGCCCGTCAAAATAATAGTTTTATTGTGAAATAATAGTTTTGATTAAGCTTGTTTAACAATCTAACAGGAAATACGTCTTGGAGTACTTCAGACACTTGTCTCTAAATACAAGAGTATGGGGTTTTCCAAAGACACAACAAACATATACAATTTTAACATCTGTTTAGATCTTGAAAATGTATTTTCATGAATAATAGTAAGTTAAAAATAAATCTCAATTCTTTCCTCTTTCCGTAGTGCTGCTATTGCCAATGCAGGGACTGCCTAAAGCAAAGCACAGTTTTAACATCTTTCTTTTATCCCACCAGGGCTCTCCTTGTGTTAATTTTTTCTTTTCATCTAAAAATCTTTTTATTGATACTTGCCTTGAAGGTTTTTTTTTTTTAAATTTATTTATTTTACTTTAGGTGCATACTATATCTGGCATTTCTCCCCATGGTGTCCCTCAGATTATCAAATCACATGTCTTAAACAACATGAAAATTTCCCTTTGGTCAATGCTGAGCCATAATCCATATACCTTCCCAAATCAGAAACTGAGGAAAAAACTACCTTTCAAGCTAGCTTGAATATGTCCAGAATCACTAGTATGGCTAATGTCATTAAGTTGTGGAATAATCTGATCTAGATATATTTTTAAGAAAAATTTGTGGTTGATAACTTTTTCTCCTAAGATCTTTATCTTCTCTGTCAAGTGGAAGATCACATTGTTTGAAGTGACTCATGTATTTCATCATTTATGCCAAGTGGTGTTAACTGTGCATCAAATACTTAGAATATCTTGAAAAGTGAGTAAAGTTGTGTCTCTAACACACAAAATCGCATCTATGGAAACTTAAGCTTTAATTGTAAGAAGAGGTCAATTAAAGCCTAACTTTATTTTAGCAAAACCTATAATGTAATTATCATCTCAGGTACATTTGGGAAGTGAAGAAAGGACTGAAGTAGAACTGGAATAAAATAAAGATTATCAAATGAATTCAGTAGCATTATATATATATGCACAGACACAATCCAGAAAATTATAAACTATAAATCAAGAAGTAAACTTCATGACAATATTTTAAAAATGACTCTAATCATTAGTAAAAGTTCAAAGTTAAAATTTAGTCTTAGTTGATTTGCAGTGAAAAGGGGGTTAAATTTGTACTACAAGGCAAATCTTACCACTCTTGGGGAAGACTGGCCTGGTGCTTTTGGGTGAAAATGATGATAATACCACGAATGAAAAATTACTGAATTTTAATCCAGTGCCTTGTATTTACTACTTGAAAAATATCAATGAAATTTCATTTTATCAGAAATGTGAAGAACAATGAGGTCCTTATGAAGTAAATCAGGAAACTAAAACTAAAATTTTGTTAATTAAAGAGAAATTGTTTAGAAAGTGTGTGGATATACCAGGCCACTGCACAGAGCCACAAGAGACTAAATACTAAACAACTGTTGGTATATCGTGGATAAACTTATCCTTTAGGCTTCAACTAGAAGATACTTACTGATTTACTTGCTACGGTATGATTTGGTATTTTAGGTTATTATGAAAGCAGACACATATGCATTAACCGATTCAAGCAATACTTATTAAGAGCCTATATGTGCCAGGTACCTTGGATACAGAGACAAAACAAAGTGCCTGCCTTCATGATTCCCATATCTTTGTGAGGGAGACAAACAATAAACAGGGATACAAATAAACATATGTGAAATAGTAGCAAATGCTATTTAAACACAAACAAGCAAGCAAGAAAGAAAATTAGAATGTCAAAGACGCTGGGGATGAGGGAAGGCTACTTTAGGTCAGATGATCAGAGATACAATATTGAATTTAGAATCTGTTCAACAGAACAGATTTTATGAGGAAGTTCTTTAATAACAGGTCTAAATTCAGTACCTTACCATATCACCAATGCTTTAAAATAGGAAAATATAAGTAAGGGGATATTGAGCCTATAGCAAACATTCAAAGGAGATATTCACAACTGACAAAGAATAATGTGTTTAGAGGGAAATAAAAGAACCATGGGAGAAATGTATAAATAATAATTACCAAATAGGAATTGGTGGGTCATCAAAATTACAAGAACATATGTATTGACATGGTAAGGAATATACAGGCCAAACAAATTCAGTAAATAAGTCTTCAGAATACTTGAGTAACATGATATTTTGTTTTATCCCATAGATTTTACAAAGACCAGAAAAAAATTCATTTTTTAATGTTTCAATACTTATTTCTGATGAAACAGATGAATAGTAGTGGGGTGTCTAAAAGTGTTTTTGCAAATTACCTCACAATAAAACTTATTGCTTCTCAAAATAGAAGATGATCCTTTTAATATTCTATGTGTGTGTATTTGTATGCACATATATGCACATTTACTGTGTGTATATATGTGTATATAATTTTACAGAAGAAAATTAAATGTAAGGATTACTTTTTAACACCAATTACTAGGTCCTGTCACCACCATCATTACATTTGTCTTTTTAAATGAGTAACAGAAAAATATATTTCTCTGAAACATGGTGTATTTTCATAAGAAGTAGATATAACATTTAAAAAATATGAAATAATCACATAAATTATATATTTATAATAATTACTTTTATAAATATAAAATCTTTTGAAGACTTAGACATGCTTTTAAAAGATTACATATAGAACAAACCAACATCCAGATCATCTTGCTGTTATGTAACAATCAAGTGACTTGACAAAGCTGTAGGTGGGTGTTTCTTCCCATCATTAATCCTCTGAATATTTTTAGCACTGACTCTTTCCGCATTCTATTAACAAGCAATTAAAAAAATCTTCCCATTGAAAGTAGACATGAGGAATAAGGTTATTTTTTAGAAAGGAAAATGGAGTGCAATACAATAAAACTCCATTTTAATTTTATTTTTTTGCCTTTAATTTTGAAGAAAAAATATTTTATTCAAATTGCATATGTTACCAAAATTAGAGCTGCTCTATTTGAATCTCACATTTGTCTACATACTAGTCATTTAGATTTAAATTTTGTCCTAGTTTGCATTCATAGTTTTTTTTTAAAAATATTTTATAGCATTTCAGGTTTTGGGGTACATGTCAAGAACATACAGGATTGTTGCATAGTTACATACATGGCAATGTGGTTTGCTGCCTTCCTACCCATCACCTATATCTGGCATTTCTCCCCATGTTATCCCTCTCCAACTCCCCACCCCCTGCTGTCCCTTCCCTAGTTCACCCCGACAGACCTCAGTGTGTGATGCTCCCCTCCCTGTATCCATGTGTTCTCATTGTTCAACACTCGCCTATGAGTGAGAACATGCGGTGTTTGATTTTCTGCTCTTGTGTCAGTTTGTTGAGAATGATGGTTTCCAGGTTCATCCATGTCCCTACAAAGGACACAAACTAGTCGTTTTTTATGGCTGCATAGTATTCCAGGGGGTATATGTGCCACATTTTCCCTGTCCAGTCTATCATTGATGGGCATTTGGGTTGGTTCCAAGTCTTTGCTATTGTAAATAGTGCTGCAATGAACATTCGTGTGCATGTGTCCTTATAACAGAATGATTTACAATCCTTTGGATATATACCCAGTAATAGGATTGCTGAGTCAAAAGGAATTTCTATTTCTAGGTCCTTGAGGAATTGCCACACTGTCTTCCAGAATGGTTGAACTAATTTACACTCCCACCAACAGTGCAAAAGTGTTCCTATTTCTCCACATCCTCTCCAGCAACTATTGTCTCCAGATTTTTTAATGATTGTCACTCTAGCTGACATGAGATGGTATCTCAATGCAGTTTTGATTTGCATTTCTCTAATGACCTGTGATGATGAGCATTTTTTCATATGTTTGTTGGCCTCATATATGTCTTCTTTTGAAAAGTGTCTCTTCATATCCTTGGCCCAGTTTTTAATGGGTTTGTTTGTTTGTTTTCTTGTAAATCTGTTTTAGTACTTTGTAGATTCTGGATATTAGCCCTTTGACAGATGGGTAGATTGTAAACATTTTTTCCCATTCTGTTGGTTGCCAGTTCACTCTAATGATTGTTTCTTTTGCTGTACAGAAGCTCTGGAGTTTAATTAGATCCCATTTGTCTATTTTGGCTTTTGTTGCCAATGCTTTTGGTGTTTTAGTCATGAAGTCCTTGCCTATGCCTATGTCTTGAATGCTTTTGCCTAGGTTTTTTTCTAGGATTTTTATGGTGTTAGGTTTTATGTTTAAGTCTTTAATCATAAAGATGTAGTTAATTTTAGTGTAAATTGTCAAGAAGGGGTCCAGTTTCTGCTTTCTGCACATGGCTAGCCAGTTTTCCCAAGACCATTTATTAAACAGGGAATCCTTTCCCCATTGCTTTTGTCAGGTTTGTCAAAGATCAGACGGTTGTAGATGTGTGGCATTGCCTCCGAGGCCTCTGTTCCATTCCATTGGTCTATATCTCTGTTTTGGTACCAGTACCATGCTGTTTTGATTACTGTAGCCTTGTAGTATAGTTTCAAGTCAGGTAGCAAGATGCTTCCAGCTTTGTTCTTTTTGCTTAGAATTGTCTTGGCTCTATGGGCTCTGTTTTGGTTCCATATGAAGTTTAAGGTGG